ATTAACAGGCGAAATATTCAGGTGACCCAGAAAATAAATAAATAAAAAATTATCTTCAGTTGAAATTAACGAAATAAACCAGAAAAACCTAACCGCTGAAAAGGTTGGTTTAAGTCGAGTTTGTGTGGGTTAAACTTGACGCGTTGAGGACCGTGTAAAAGTTTAAAAAGTTTGAGTGTTAATAAGTCACAGGTATCACGGGGGACAGGTAACAGACAGGTGTACAAACTTTCCACCTCATTTGAATATTTGATGTTCCGTCCTCAGCACAGATACCTTGAGTCTGAAGGTTATCTAGGTAAGGTTAGCATGTGTTGGGGGTTGTGGTGGGGTTAGTGGTTGTGGGTGGGGTGGTTAGTGGTTGTGATGGTGGTAGTTATTTGGTAGTGGTTGTTGATAGTGTTGGTGGGTTGTGGTGGGGTTAGTGGTGGGGGTTAGCGGTTGTGATGGTGGTAGTTATTTGGTAGTGGTTGTTGATAGTGGTGGTAATGGTGGTGATTGTTGATGTTAGTGGTAGTGGTGATTAGTGGTGTTGGTGTTATTTTCCCTCAACAGGATATTTTTTTCCCTAGAGTTCAGGATAATTTAACTTTAGGGTATTAATTCCCCTAAATTATTCCCTGAACAAAATAATCTTCCCCCTAACATAATATTTCCCTTCTATAATATTTTTCCCCCTTAAGATATTAATTTCCCTGAACACGATATTTTTCCCTTGAGAGATTATTATTTCCCCCCACAACAATATATTATTTCCCTCAACCGGCTATAATATTTTCCCCTGACCACAACATACAGACAGACGCTTATTGTTGTGACTGGGAAGATTCGACCGGAAAATATCTCATTATATTTACTGTGTTGTGGCATAAACAGGTCAACATTATACTGGGAGATGTGTCTTGGTTACTAGGCTCTATTGGGATGTGTCTTGTGTTGTTGGGATATGTTTGTTTTATTGGGATGTGTAGGAGGAAGAGGTAGGAGGAGGAGGTAGAAGGAGGAGGAGATATTTTTTCAGTCTTCTGTCTTGCTTTAGAATTCGTAAAACTCTCTCTCTCTCTCTCTCTCTCTCTCTCTCTCTCTCTCTCTCTCTCTCTCCATTAATTAGGAATGAACGAACCTCCGTGGAATATTTTACGGCCTAACAAGGTCATTTGCTCTGAATAAAGACATTTCACCTGGTATTGACAGTTGGTCTTTTGGCTTGACATACAGAGCCGGATGCGATAGTAGCAGGCTTCCTGGGCCGGCCTCACGCACGGTTGACCTTGTTTATTCTGATTGGCTGAGCTCTCTGACGTTCTGGGAGTTGTGATTGGTTCGATTCCTCCCGGTTTTGGGGGCTGGGAAAGGTTCTTGGGCTGTGATTGGTTGAGCTGCTTGGTGTTGGGTGTTGTGATTGGTTGAGATTGTAACTCTGAGAGACCTTATTGGATGGGTTCCTAGCAGTGGGAGACCTGATTGGCTGAGCCCTTGGAATCGATAGTCCTGATTGGTTGAATGTTTGGATCTGTTTGCCGGAGTGGGACCCCTTGATTGGCTCTGATTGACTCCAATTACTGTGTGAGAGACAGACAGACAGACAGACACAGACAGACAGACAGACAGACACAGACAGACAAACAGACACAGACAGACAGACAGACACAGACAGACAGACAGACGTGCGAATGAGAGAGGCAGAGAGAATCCGTACTATGTTATGGTAATAATAGTAAATTAGGCAATGCTATGCTATGCTATGTTATGTTTGGTTAGGTTATATATTATTAGAAAACACACACACACACACACACACACACACTTTCTGAAGGACACCCTCACTCTACAGGTGTTGTGTGAGTGTAGGTCAGTGAGGAGGTGTAGCCTGTGTGTGAGTGAGTGTGGCAGTGAGGGTCAGAGTGATTGAGTGGAGTGAGTGAGTGAGTGAGTGTGTGTGTGTGAGTGTGAAAGTGATTGAGTGTGAGTGAGAGAGAGTGAGATCCTTCTCTTCTATCCTCACCCCCTCACTTTTCACCCTCTTCCCTCCCCCTCTTCTCCCCCTCTCCACCCTCTCCCCCTGCCCCCTCCTTCCCCCTTCCCCCTCCTTCCCCCTTCCCCCCTGTTCGTCAAGAAGGCCACGGTCGTTAGGTAGTGCCGAGTTAGCGCCGTCTCGTTACTACCTAATTGTATCAAACACCGACCTAGAGATTATTAGTGTGGAAGGGAGAACAGGGAGAACAGGGAGGGAGGTAGGCAGGGAGAGAGGGAGGAAGGAAGTAGTGAGGGAGTGGTGGGGGCAGGGAGATAAGTGTGAGTGGGAGGGGGGGCAGGTCAGGGAGTATTGGAGCGTTGGGTGGGCGTGGAAGACCGTAGGGTGGGGGGGGAGGAGGGAGGAGGGAGTAGGGGGATAACTCAGGGGTGGAGGGGTGACAGGGCGATGGAGGGAGGAAGAGAAGTGATTGAGGAAGGGGGAGAGGGAAGGAGGGAGGGGGAGGGGGAGGGGGAGGGGGGGGAGGGAGGGAGGGAGGGAGGTGAGGCAAAGGTGGTGGGATTGGGAGGTAGGCGGGGCAGTGCAGGGGCGGCGTAGGCGGGGGCGGCGATGGTGGGCGGCATAGGTGGCGGTGAGGGATAGAGTATACAGTATAGAAGTCTTGTGAGTGGGTGAGACGGGCGGACAGTGAAAATAAGGAGCGGAAATGTGCGAGAGGAACCCACGTGAAGGAAGGGAGGGAGGGAGCCAAGGCAGGGCGAAAAGTGAGCTGGAGGGAGAGTGAGGTGAAAGGGAGAGGAAGATTAAGTGACATTGAGGGAGATTAAGGGAGATTATAATACTGTATTTTAAATGACAATAATAACCTTAATATTTACACACACACATATATATATATATATATATATATATATATATATATATATATATATATATATATATATATATATATATATATATATATATATATACATATATACATACTCGTAATATTTTCTGTAATATATTTCAGTATTTTTTTCTTATTTTTTATAATTTTTTTCTTATTCTTATCTTTATTAATATATTACAGGCAGCAGGACCGATATGACGACATATTTATTAATTTCGTTTCTCTGTTTTCTTCTTTGTGTGTGTATGTGTATGTGTGTGTGTGTGTGTGTGTGTGTGTGTGTGTGTCGTTTCTAATTAATATTTATTTTCTATTTTTCGTTTGATTTTATTTTTGTTTTATTATTATTATTATTATTATTATTATTATTATTATTATTATTATTATTATTATCATTATTATTATTATACATTTACATTCATTAAACAGTACATTAGGTCCTTCATTAACTCAACACAATTATTCTCACATAACTTTAATAATTCTTAACTATTTTTTTCCTCCTGGGTCGCGTTCAATACTCGTTAAGAATAGAGTAGCTCCGGATATTTGCATACGATGGAATACCAAGTGATAAGATGTAATGATGCTCCTTCAGGGGACTATATAATATCCGGGTTCTGGGCGATAATGGACTAACCTAACCTAACGTGGACTAACCTAACCTAACCTAACAAAACCAACAGACAGACAGGCAGACAGACAGAGAGAGACAACAGATACAGACAGAAATAGACAGATAACAGACACACTTCCTCCCCTCCCCTATACACACCACCACTCGTATGTATTAATCCCAGTATTAACACCAACTGACCGTGTTTATACCACGATCGTCCTGGGAATAGATCATAGAGCTTTAATCCCTATACACACGGGCCTGGACAACTCGACTGTTTTACTCGTGTTTATTTTCATTATTTTTGTGTGTTTTGTTAGGGTGTTTTGTTGGGGTGTTTTTTTATAATACAATTCTTAAATATGATGGTGATCGGACAAACGCCTGTTGTTATTTTTTTCATTAAGTATCAGTTTACGAGTGAAAAAAAAACTGGCCTGGGTTATTTTATTTCTGATGTGTGTTTTTTTGTGTGTGTGTAATGTGGTGTTTTGTTTCATAAGTGGATATTTTTGGTGGGGGAGGTGAGGTTGGGGGGGGAGGATGTCCTTGGTGGGGGATGAGATGAGGGGATGAGATGAGGGGGTTAGATTAATGTGTTGTGTTTTTATCCGGTGGTAAAATTTTTTGTGTAATTTTGTTTTTATATTTATTTTTGTTTATATTTGTGTGGCTCTCTCTCTCTCTCTCTCTCTCTCTCTCTCTCTCTCTCTCCTCTCTCTCTCTCTCTCTCTCTCTACTCTCTCTCTCTCTCTCTCTCTCTCTCTCTCTCTCTCTCTCTCTCTCTCTCCTGCCTTCCTTCACGGGAGGGAGGGAGGGAGGAGGAGGAGGACCTGACGTGATGATTGAGCTTAACGTATTAGTTTGCCCTTGCGACTTACTCACTAGAGGCCTTGTCTGACGTGCTGGAGGAGGGAGGGAGGGAGGAGGAAGGAGTGAGGGGCAAGGGAGATACAAGGAGGGGGGATGGGAGGCAGGAGAGGAAGGGAGAAACAGAGGGGGAAGGAGAGAGAAAGGAAATGAGAGGGAGAGTACAGAACGAAAGGTAAAAAGAAGTGATGATAGGAGGAATGAAAATGAATGAAGTCATAAAGGAGAGGAAGATTGCAGAGGAGGAAGGAAAAAAGGAAGGAAGGTAGAGGTTGGAAAGGAGGAAGGAAAGAGGAAGGAAGGAAGAAGAAAAGGAAGGAAGGAAGGAGGAATTGGGTCCTATAGTACGTCATTTAGGATGGTACTGACCCAATTTCTGTATTCCCCCCTCCATCCTTCATCATTCCCCCCCTCCCCTACACTCCCTTGCCTCCCCACGCCCTGCCCTCCCGCCCCTTCACCACTCCCGCCCTTCCCTGCCTCCCACGCCCCTTCCCCTGCCTCCCGCCCCTTCCCCTGCCTCCCGCCCCCCCCATCCCGCCCCCCCCTCCCACACATGTTTTCCTATGTCCTTGTACATTGTCTTTGGGACTGTGTTCGTGTGCTTGTGACCTGATGATTGTAGAGTATGTGAGTCTTGCAGAATGGCTCAGTATGCCAGGCCTGTATATAACCCCTGTATGCTGACCCCTGTATGTGATCCCAGTATGTGACCCTATGTGGCCCCAATGTGCAGCCCTATATGCTAACCCTGTATATGTAGTCCCAGTATGTGACCCCTGTTATGTGACCCCCAGTATGTGAGCCCCAGTATATGACCCTGTATGTGAAGCCCCCAGTATGTGACCCCCAGTATGTGACCCCCAGTATGTGACCCCAGTATGTGACCCCAGTATGTGACCCTGTTTGGCTGACCCCAGTATGTGACCCCAGTATACTTGACCCTGTGTTTGTGACCCCCAGTATGCTGACCCCCAGTATGTGACCCCCAGTATGTGGCCTGATATGTGACCCGTGTATGACCCGTGTATGTGACCCCTGTATATGACCCAAGTATGCCAACAGTATGTGACCCATGTGGCCCCAGTATGTGACCCCAGTATGTGACCCTATACGGCCCTGTATGTGACCCTGTTTGTGACCCCAGTGGCACTTGACCCCCAATGTGGCCCCCAGTGTGGCCCCAATGTGTGACTTCCGTGTATGTGACCCGTATGTGACCCTGTATGTGTGACCCAAGTGTGACCCATGTGTGTGACCCGTGTGTATTGACTGATATGTGACCCCAGTATGTGTTCCCTGTATGTGGCCCTGTTTTGTGACCCCCAGTATGTGACCCAGTATCTTGACCCCAATGTATATGACCGTGTATATGACCCCGTGTGTGTGACTCCAGTATTCTTGACCTGTATGACCCAAGTATGTGACCCCCAGTGTAACTGATGTGTTATTTGATATGTGACCCCTGTATGTATTAAGTATGTGACCCTGTATGTGACCCGTGTATGTGACCCGTGTATGTGACCCCAGTATGTGACCCTGTATGTGACCCAAGTATGTGACCTGATATGTGACCCAAGTATGTGACTGATATGTGACCCCAATTATGTGACCCCAGTATGTGACCCGTGTATGTGACCCCAGTATGTGACCCCCAAGACTTGTTTTGTTTGAATATCAGCGCCTCAAACAATGCTCAACACAACGTCTCAAATGTAAGAAAATCTATTGATGTAGCAGCGACCCAGATCAAAATCACCCTCCTTCCCCTCATCCCCCTCCCTCCACTTCCCTTCCCTCCCTCTCTCCTTCCTCCTTCCCTCCCTCTCACTCCTCTCATTCCTTCCTCCCTCTCTCTCTTGTATATAACGCGTTGAGTTAAGGTCTATCTTGCAGGAAGTTAGTGCCTGTCAGATTGTTGCTTTTTCCTATGAAGAACCTTGTGGTGTCGAGCTGTAGAGATAAAGGATTCTGAAGAGGCTTATTTTAAGTTGTTTTGGAGAAAGCTAGATGAAAAGGCTTTGGAGGAAATGGTCTTCTTATAACATGTGTGTGTGTGTGTGTGTGTGTGTGTGTAGGTAGGGAGAGGGGGGCAGGAAGAGGTAAGGTAGCCGCCCTACTAGTACACCTCACATAACTGCCTCCCCTCACTCCGCCTCCCCTCCTCCACCGCCCTCCCCTCACTCCGCCCTCCCCTCACTCCCTCCCCTCACTCCTTTCCCCTCACTCCGCCTACCCTCCTCCGCCTCCCCCCTCCCTCCCTGCCTCCCCTCCTCCGCCTCCCCTCACTCCATCCCCTCACTCCACACCTCCCCTCCTCCGCCTCCCCTCCTCCCGCCTCCCCCTCCTCCACCTCCCCCTCACTCCGCCTCCCCTCCTCCACCTCCCCCTCTCCACCTCCCCTCCCTCCACCTCCCCTCCTCCCTCCCCTCACTCTGCCTCCCCTCCCTCCCGCCTCCCCTCACTCCACCTCCCCTCACTCCCACCTCCCCTCACCACCCCTCCCCTCACTCCACCTCCCCTCCCTCCCGCCTTCCCTCCTCCACCTCCCCCTCCCTCCCACCCTCCCTGCTGTACGCCCGTCACCTAGTCTGGTCTCACCACTCCATGCCACGGTCAGTATATTCATATATTACACACTTGAGTATATTCTACCTGGCATATCGTTATAACATGAGATTTTTATATTGTGGTTTTATATCTAGTACTTCTTCTGTACCTGTCCTTGTACCTGTGTCTATACCTGTCCTTGTACCTGTGTCTGTACCTGTCCTTGTACCTGTTTAATAATAATAATAATAATAATAATAAATAATAATAATAATAATAATAATAATAATAAAAGGTTTATTAATAGAGTTGCAGCGGTGGCAGAAAATGCCCTAGGCACCCATTTGATTTAGACATAATGATATATTTGAATACATTTACAGGGCTGTTTCTCTACCTATTACTTGTACCTGTATCTTCACACCTATACCTGTCATATACCTGTCTCTGTACCTGTCCTTGTACCATCTTTTACCTGTACCTGTCATGTACCTGTCTCTCTTACTGTCCTTGTATGCCTGTCTCTGTACCTGTCCGCCCATACCTGTTTCTCTACCTGTACCTGTCCTTGTACCTGTGTCTCTGCCTATCCTTGTACCCCGTGTCTGTACCTGTCCAGCAGCACCGTGTCTCTGCCTCTCCTTGTACCCGTGTCTACCTGTACCTGGCCTTGTGCCCGTGTCTCCACCTGTACCTGTCCTTGTACCCGTGTCTCTACCTGTACCTGTCCCTTGTACCCACGTGTCTCTACCTGTACCTGTCCTTGTACCCGTGTCCTCTACACCAGCACCTGGCCTTGTACCCGTGTCTCTACCTGTACCTGTCCTTGTACCTGTGTCTCTACACTATCCTTGTACCCGGCCTTGTACTGTCCCCACTTTGCCACCCGTGTCTCTAACTGCTTTTCATCCTTGTGCCCGTGTCTTTACTGTCCTTCCCTTGCCAATGTCTCTAGCTTCTTACCTGTCCTTGTACCCGTGTCTCTACCTGTACCTGTTTCTCTACCTGTACCTGTCCTTGTACCTGTGTCTCTACCTGTCCTTGTACCCGTGTCTCTAACTGTACCTGTCCTTGTACCCGTGTCTCTAACTGTACCTGTCCTTGTACCTGTCTCTGTACCTGTCCTTGTACCTGTGTCTGTACCTGTCCTTGTACCTGTCTCTGTACCTGTCCTTGTACCTGTGTCTCTGCCTATCCTTGTACCCGTGTCTGTACCTGTCCTTGTACCTGTCTCTGTACCTGTCCTTGTACCCGTGTCTCTGCCTATCCTTGTACCCGTGTCTGTACCTGTCCTTGTACCCGTGTCTGTACCTGTCCTTGTACCCGTGTCTCTACCTGTACCTGGCCTATTATCTCAGAATAAATAATGAAGTATTAGTCACTGAAACGGTTCAAAAATTAGATAAGCGAATAAATATTAATTATTCTATATATAATTCCTGCAATACGACTCTAACTAAAAACACTTCCTTTTTTTTTCGTCTGGCTAAATGTCACGCGTAGCCCCTTGACGTTTATTAAAAGTTTGTATATTTATATTAGAGTCTATGTATTATAAATATGTATATTTTTGTTTATGTACCGAATATGTGGGACAAGGTGAACACGTCTCATATGTGTATCGACCCAAGATGTTACCTACCCGACGTTTTCTATGTAGCTGTTAACAGTGTATGTGGAAGGGTGAGGAAACTATTTAAAGTGGGTTATAAAGTGAGGTTGAGACAATACCTGAGTCATTGTGTGGAGGTTGTGAAGGTTGTGTGTGGAGGTTGTGAAGGTGGTGTGTGGAGGTTGTGTAGGTGGTGTGTGGAGGTTGTGTAGGTGGTGTGTGGAGGTTGTGTAGGTGGTGTGTGGAGGTTGTGTGGGTGGTGTGTGGAGGGTTGTGAAGGTGTTATTTGTGTGTGGAGGTTGTGTGGGTGGTGTGTGGAGGGTTGTGTGAAGGTGGTGTGTGTGGAGGTTGTGAAGGTTATTGTGTTGGAGGGTTGTGTGGGTGGTGTGTGGAGGTTGTGAAGGTTGTTGTGTGTGGAGGTTGTGTGGGTGTGTGGAGGTTGTGTAGGTGGTGTGTGGGTTGTTGGGTGGTGTGTGGAGGTTGTGTGGGTGGTGTGTGGAGGGTTGTGGAGGTGCTGTGTGTGGAGGTTGTGTGGGTGGTGTGTGGGTTGTGGGTGGTGTGTGGGTTGTGTGAAGGTGGTGTGTGGAGGTTGTGTGGGTGGTGTGTGGGGTTTGTGTAGGTGGTGTGTGGGGGTTGTGAAGGTTTGTGTGTGGGTTGTGTAGGTGTGTGTGGGGTTAGCCAGAAGGTTGTGTGGAGGTTGTGGGTGGTGTGTGGAGGTTGTGAAAGGTTGTGTGTGGAGGTTGTGAAGGTTGTGTGGGTGGTGGAGGTTGTGTAGGTGGTGTGTGGAGGTTGTGTAGGTGGTGTGTGTGGAGGTTGTGAAGGTTGTGTGGAGGTTGTGTAGGTGGTGTGTGGAGGTTGTGAAGGTTGTGGGTGGTGTGTGGAGGTTGGCTGAAAGGTTGTGTGGAGGTTGTGTGGGTGGTGTGTGGAGGTTGTTGTGGGTGGTGTGTGGGGTTGTGTGGGTGGTGTGTGGAGGTTATTGTGGGTGGTGTGTGGAGTTGTGAAGGTGGTGTGTGGAGGTTGTGTGGGTGGTGTGTGGGTTGTGAAGGTTGTGTGTGGAGGTTGTGTGGGTGGTGTGTGGAGTTGTGAAGGTTATTGTGTGGAGGGTTGTGAAGGTTGTTGTAGGTGGTGTGTGGAGGGTTGTGTAGGTTGTGTGTGGAGGTTGTGTAGGTGGTGTGTGGAGGTTGTGTAGGTGGTGTGTGGAGGTTGTGTAGGTGGTGTGTGGAGGTGTTGTGTGGAGGTTGTGAAGGTTGTGTGTGGAGGTTGTGAAGGTGTTGTGTGGAGGTTGTGAAGGTGTTGAGGAAGTAATGTAATATTAAGGTAGTATCCTCTTGATTATTTTAAGTGCTGCTCCATTTTCTGAGTGACAGCTTAGAAGGGATACTGAAATATTACACGATATCTCCGGAGACTTTCAACACGGCTCCTGGTGTCTGTCTGTTACTAGTCTTTTATACTGAAATAATAAGATAGTTTCCCGTAGATTTACTTAAGTTAACTTTTGTCTTACAGGCGGGCTGCTGAGCGCTGGGGACGGTACGGGAGGCGGCCGTAACGACAATATGTCACGGCTGAACGGGCGTGTACACAACTCAGGCGCACAGCACGGCACCTCCGCTCAGTACCAGGCAGTACCCATCCAGTACCACCAGGGGCCCCCAGTCCAGTACCAGGGATCACAAGGGCACCCCGAGGAGTTCGAGCCCTCCTGCTTAGTGAGGACACCTTCAGGGAATGTGTATATCCCTTCGGGTAAGTCTCGTGTGTTGGCCGTCTGTCTCTCTGTGTAGACCGGACCCCTTTAAGCGTAATTAATGTTCCCTTACCTTACCTACCTTAACTATCCTAACCTAACCTAACTTTTACCTTGCCAAACATAGGGCAGGTGGTGATGGTGGTAGTGGTGATGTGTGGTGATAGTGATAGTGGTGATGTGTGGTGATACTGGTGGTAGTGGTGATGTGTGGTGATACTGGTGGTAGTGGTAATCCTCCTCACCACCATACATCCTGCTCACCACCACCACCACCACCACCATATTCACCACCACATATTCTACAAATACAGCCTTCCTCCTCCTCCTCCTCCCTCACATCCTTCTCCTCCTCCTTCCTCCCTCACATCCTGGGGGGAAGGGGGGGGGGGTCACCATCCTAAATAGATTTATCTTATAATCGCCTCCATCACTCACCATTTTTTACGCATCTTTCTCTCTCTCTTTCTCAGCAGGCAACCATCACCTGTGTATAACGTGTAGACTCTCTCTCTCCCTCTCTCTCTCTCTCTCTCTCTCAGAATTATCGAGGAATGTCAGAAGGCTCGGGATATTGGCCACGTTCGATGGGTTCACATTCTGGACATAGTTTCTTGAATTCCTGTTTTTCAATGGAAGGTTCTCATTACCTCTAAGACCCTCCTCTCTCCATTACCTGCACATAATTGACGGAGTTTTTTTTTTGGGGGGGGAGGGAGGCGGAGTTAAGCCAGAGTAAAATTCGAATCTGAAATCGAGACCGAACCTGAATCCGAGACCGAATCTGAAACCGAACCCGAGACCGAATCTCTGAATCCTGTGGGTACTGCCATCCGCCACCAACACTTCCACCTCCTCCACCATCCTTTCTACCTCCTCCACCATAACCACCTCCATCACCACCTCCTCCACCACCACCACGTCCTTGATAATAAAACAATAAAGTCAATCTTTTATGGACACAGAAACTATCCGCCACCACCACTTAAACTATCCTCTCTCTCTCTCTCTCTCTCTCTCCTCTCTCTCTCTCTCTCTCCTCTCTCTCTCCCTCCTCCTCCCTCTCTCCCTCCTCCTCCTCCTCCCTCCCCTCCCTCCTCCCTCCCTCCCTCCCTCCTCCTCCCCTCCCTCCCTCCTCCCTCTCCCTCTCTCCCCTCTCCCCCTCTCCCCAACGTCTTTCCTTATCACTGTCGCCAGTTGCTATATCCTTTCCTTCCTCTTTATTGTCTGCTTCCTCTCATTCTTCTTCGTCTTCTCTTCCGCTTCTCCTTCCTTCCTCCTGACCCCCCATTTCTGGGGTTTCCTTCCCCTTTCCATTAGACGCCTCTCTCCTATTTTGTCCCCATTCCTCCCCCTTTTCCTGCCCTTTCAATTCTCCTTCCTCCCTACCTTTTCTCTTCCTTCACCTACTTTACTCACTCACCCCCTACCCCGATCACCCACCTCCCTACCCCATCACCCACCTCCTACCCCCATCACCCACCCCCTACCCCCCCTGCTTCCACCCTACCCCCCCATCACCCACCCTACCCCCATCTTACCTCCCCTACCCCACTCACCTCCTACCCCCATCACCCACCTCCTACCCCCCATCACCCACCTCCTACCCCCATCACCCACCCCTACCCCCCATCACCCCACCTCCCCACCCCCCATCACCTTACCTCCCTACCCCCATCACCCACCCCTACCCCCATCACCCACCTCTTACCCCTGCCCACCTCCTACCCCCATCACCCCACCCCCCTACCCCCATCACCCCACCCCTACCCCATCACCCACCCCTACCCCCATCACCTACCCCCATCACCCACCTCCTACCCCCATCACCCACCCTGGCGCCCCTGGGGAGACACTTCACACCAGCTGGGGGAGGAGACCGTGGGAGAGTGTTGTAAATGTGTGTTTAGTGTTGCAGTAATGGCAGCCATTATCCGGGTGTCCGGTGGAGTTAGTCTTCTGGTAACTCCTTCACTATAAAGGCGATGGTGATGTTATGGTGGTGATGGTGTATTGTGGTGGTGTATTATGATGGTGGTTCTCCTCACTAACCCAACCCAACTTAACCCCACCGTACGTCATAAATCGCCACGAAAAAGCGTCATATTTACCCTGGGGTGATGAGGGGTGATGACTTCCCCCTGACGACATATGGATCACCAACCAGGAAGACGAACACCATAAATATTTAGCCGGACGAGGCGCCATTAATCGTGTCGTGTAGTCAATCACACACACACACACACACACACACATCTGTTGAGACAAAAGTTATGTCGTTTCTTACAACTTTGTGCGGGTTAGCTTCTCTTATTCTTTACATCCTCCCCTCCCCCTCTCTCTTACCCCCCCACCCTTCCTTCCTTCACCTCTCCCCTTCCTTCCCCCTCCTTCCCCCCTCCTTCGCCTGCTGCCACTCCCCACCACTCCGTCAACGCCTCCACCGTCAGTCTCCCCCACAAAACTGTCTTCGTCATTTACCGTCAGGAGGAGAGTTTAGGGGATGTATAATGACGCCTCTCTCTCTCTCTCTCTCTCTCTGTCTCTCTCTCTCTCTCTCTCTCTCTCACAACTCTACGGTGTTGTCCTGTCATATTTAACTTACAACTCCTATAACCCGACTCATGAGAGATGGTGTTGTGTTAACAGTTATAGATATATGTTGTAACTCTGCTAAAACTTTATTATAATGACCTTATATGTGTAATTAATTGTGTGTGTGTGTGTGTGTGTGTGTGTGTGTGTGTGTGTGTGTGTGTGTGTGTGTGTGTGTGTGTGTGTGTGTTAGGTATATGGCCACACTAACAGCTATGCATAACGGGCCACACATGATCATCGTAATTCACTTCGCAGTTAACGCCCGCCAGTGTGGCCGTCCACAATGGCCACGTCCTGTGTATTACCGCGTTATACAGTGAGGGACACTTATTCCGGCAAAATACATTTATTGTATTTTTTCGTTAATCTGCTGTGCTTGGTCGACGCGCTCTATTGAAGAGTGAGTGTGTGTGTGTGAGTGTGTGTGTGTGTGTGTGTGTGTGTGTGTGTGTGTGTGTGTGTGTGTGTGTGAGAGTGTGTGTGTGTATGTGTGTGTGTGTGTGTGTGTGTGTGTGTGTGTGTGAGTGTGTGTGTGTGTGTAATAAATGTGTTTGTAAGTGTATGTATGATAAGTGTTATTGTACATATGACAACGCATGCATGTATGTATGTATGTATGTATGTATGTATGTATGTATGTTTGTATATATGTACGTGTAATAGTTATCGTTTCAATTATTACACACACACACACATATTGTCCTGGTGAAAATAGTAATGAATTATGAGCATTGGATCAGAAATGTTGTGTACTAAATATTTATACCAAAAAAAATAATAATTATTTATCGGTGGTGCAAAATAATATTGAGAATTAACATAACATTTTAATATCTGTTTAAACATTAATGTATTTAAAGTAGTCGATATAATTTGTCTGACTTAAATTATGCTTAGAATGTGTTAAATTATATTGAGATTCTATAATATAATCAACACTTCTATATAATTTACTGAACGTTTAAATAGCAAGGTATATAATAGGAACTGTGTGTTGGGTCACTATAATTTGCTAGTTAGATTATAGATTATATAGGTTTAAAGTGACTAAAACTTAAAATTATATTACCTTAGGTCTATATTATTCCTGTGGTATAATTAGTGGTATTTTAGTAGGTAAGTTATATTAGGTTCCACTGTTCAGTAATTACTATACACAGGTGCGCACGTGATTTTTAAACACACAATTAGACAAGTTGGGTTAGGTTAATTGGGGTTAGGTTAGGTCCACTCACATGTAAACACTAAGTATGCTGAGTTAACAGATGGATGGTTGATGGCGCTGTACTGGGAAGGTCGAGATGGAAGGTTGTGGTTGTGGAGATGGTGAGGTGGTAGTGTTGGTAGGGGTGGTAGTGGCGGTAGTAGTCGGAATGATGGTTGTGGTGGTGGCGGCGGTAGTAATGGTTGTGGTGGAGGCGGCGGTAGTGATGGTGGTGATAGTGGCAGTAGCAGTGATTGTGGCGGCGGTGACACAGTCCCTAAACACATGGGATTTATTCTATTCACTTTACCTTTTCTTAACAATAGGCTGATGGTGACGGAGTTACCTTTAAGTGAAACATTACTGGTATATAACAGGTCCTCACCCCTCCCTCCCTGTACCCCCTCCCTCCCTCTACCCCCTCCCCCCCTCCACCCCCCTCCCCCCACTCACACCCTCCCCACTCTAGCCCCTCCCTCCCTCTACCCCTCTCCCCCCACTCTACACCCTCCACCCTCTCTCCCTCCTACCTTTCCTCCCTCCTCCTACCCTTGCTCCCTCTTTCCCTTAACCTCCCCCCCTCAGCAGGTCCCAGGGTGCAGTGATCTGTACACATCACAAAGCTCTCGAGGTGTGCGTGTTCTCCCTCGCCTTAGATGGGTCAACAATCGCTCTTATTCTAATGGGATACTGGGTAGGTTTTACCCCATCCACTCACTCTGTCTTGTGTAGGGGCGGGGTGTAGTAGTGGGTGTAGGGGCGAGGTGTAGTGGCCGGGTGTAGGGGCAGGAGGTGTAATTCCAGGTGTAGGGGCAGGGGTGTGGTGGCTTGGTGAGGGGGAGGTTAGTGGCTGGGTGTAGGGGAGGGTGAAGTGGCCAGGTGTAGGGGCGAGGGTGTGTAGCCGGGTGTAGGGGCGGGTGTAGTGGCCGGGTGTAGGGGCGAGGGTGTAGTGGCCGGGTGTAGGGGGCGAGGGTGTGGTGGCTTGGTGTGGGGGAGGTGAAGTGGCCGGGTGTAGGGGCGAGGGTGTAGGGGGCGAGGGTGTAGGGGCGAGGGTGTAGTGGCCGGGTGTAGGGGCGAGGGTGTAGTGGCCGGGTGTAGGGGCAGGGTGTGGTGGCTTGGTGTAGGGGAGGGGTGAAGTGGCCGGGTGTAGGGGCGAGGGTGTGAGTGGCCGGGTGTAGGGGGCGGGTGTGGTGGCTTGGTGTAGGGGAGGGTGAAGTGGCCGGGTGTAGGGGCGGGTGTAGTGGGGGTGTAGGGGTGAGGTGTAGTGGCGGGTGTAGGGGCGAGGTGTAGTGGCCGGGTGTGGGGCAGGTGGGTGGCCGGGTGTAGGGGCAGGGTGTAGTGGCCGGGTGTAGGGGCAGGGGTGTAGTGGCCGGGTGTAGGGGCGAGGGTGTGGCGGGTGTAGGGCAGGGTGTAGTGGCCGGGTGTGAGGCGAGAGGTGTGGTGGCCGGGTGTAGGGGGCGAGGGTGTGGTGGCCGGGGAGGGGGGCGAGGGTGTTGGGTGGCTTGGTGTTGGGGCGAGGTGTAGTGGCCGGGTGTAGGGGCGAGGGTGTGGTGGCTTGGTGTAGGGGCGAGGGTGTAGTGGTGGTGTAGGGGCGAGGGTGTGGTGGCTTGGTGTGGGGAGGGTGAAGTGGCCGGGTGTAGGGGCGAGGTGTGGTGGCCGGGTGTAGGGGCGAGGTGTGGTGGCTTGGTGTGGGGCGAGGTGTGGTGGCCGGGTGTAGGGGGCGAGGTTGTGGCTTGGTGTGGGGCGAGGGTGTAGTGCCCGGGTGTAGGGGCGAGGGTGTGGTGGCTTGGTGTAGGGGAGGGTGAAGTGGCACAGATTGTGGGGCTGTCCTGTTGTGAGTTGGAACACACACACACACACACACACACACACTAACAGACAGGAAACAAAATAAAAACATTGAGTTTAAACTGAAGACTGAGAGGAGGAGAGAGAGAGAGAGAGAGAGAGAGAGAGAGATTGAGAGAAATAAGATTAAAAGAAGAGGAAGAGAGAATAAGAAGAAAGAGGAGAGAGGGATACGAACAGAAAGAAAAGGGAAAAAAGAAAGAACGAACGGAAGGAGGAAGGAGAGGAACAGAAGGAGGGAGAAGGGAAGGAGGAAAAGAACGGGGTGTATGTGTCACCTTGACTTAAATAAATGATGTTTTCGCTAAATGTCAGTTTGGTCTCGAGTGTAAAGCTCCTGCAGTCTGAACGGCTTTACAGAATAAAGTGTTTTAGAGTGACGCTTTTCAACCCAGGGGAGGGAAGGAGGGGCGCGAAGGAGGGAGGGTGAGGGAGGGGGGCGCAGAAGGAAGGAGGGAGGGAGGAGGGAGGGAGTGAGGGAGGGCTGCGAAGGAAGGAGGGAGGGAGTGAGGGAGGGCGCGAAGGAAGGAGAAGGGAGGGAGGGAGGGAGTGAGGGGAGGGCACAGGAGGGAGGAGGGCGCGAAGGAGGGAGGGAGGGGCGCGAGGAGGGAGGGAGGAGGGAGGAGGGAGGGAGGGAGGGAGGGGGAGTAGGGGAGGGCGCAGAAGGAAGGAGGGAGTGAGGGAGGGCGCGAAGGAGAGGGAGGGAGGGAGGAGGGAGGGCCTGAAGGAAGGAAGGAGGGAGGGAGGGAGGGCGCGAAGGAAGGAAGGAGGGAGGGAGGGAGGAGCTTGAGGAGGGGGAGGGCACGAAGGAAGGAAGGAGGGAGGGCCGAAGGAGGGAGGGCACGGGAGGGAGGGATTGAGGGAGTGAGGGAGGGCAGGAGGAGGGGAGGGAGGGAGGGAGGGAGGAGGGCACGAAGGAGGGAGGGAGGGAGGGCGAGGGGAGGCGTGAGGAAAGGAGAGAGAGAGAGAGAGAGAGAGAGAGAGAGAGAGAGAGAGACGGTAGGAGGAAGTAAATAAAGAAATGAGGGAGGGAGGGAGTGAGGGAGGGAGAATGTGGAGAGAGGGAAGGAGGGTGAGGGAGAGAGTAAGTGAGCGAGGAGACATTGTTTATTCAGGGTGTGTGGTGGCCGCGTTTACCCGAGTGTTGCTGGCCCACGGCTGACATTCATGACCCACGGCTGACACTCCTGACCCACTCCTGACCCATCCCTGACACTCCTGACCCACTCCTGACACTCCTGACCCACGGCTCATAACTCTGACCTGTAGTGCTTAATTATGAGAGAGAGAGACCGACCGACCGACCGACCGACCGACCGAGAGACCTACTAGATATTAATGTGTACGAATACCTGCTATTCACCTTGTCCACCAGGTAACTAGTGTTGTCAAAATCCATCGTCCACTGTGTCGTATTGTCTCTCATAAAATGGTAAGGATACTTTTTTGGGAGGTGGACAACATATCAGAAACATTACTCGTCTATTCATGGTGTGACAAGTGAATGTTCCTCCAGTGAATGTTTAGAATGTTGAGAGACAGTGGCTTCAGGGTTACTCTTTATCTTGGAGCCTTTAGGAGTACACAGGTTCGAGGTTTTTAATTTCTTGTATTTGTTGATCACTAAAGACCACTCAGCCTGACTATGGAAACATCACTGGATCACCAAATAAACGTCTTATGCCCACCTGAGGTATACAAGGTGTTAATCACTGCTCGCTGTTTCATTTACCTTCTGTCCGTCGGGTTACATTTCCGATCAAATTTCTCCCGAATGTTTGTTTTGTCTTGTCAATGACTGGTGGTTGATAGAATCTTAATGGACGTGATTGCCTAGTCGTTGAAGCACAATGCAGCACACAGCAGTTTACTTCCGGCATTTTGGCAGCAAATAACATGGTGTGTCACGTAGGTCCTATTAATCAAACGGGTTATAAACAAAGGTAGCTGACTTGACTCCTGGCTTCTCCCCCCCCCCCACCCTCCCAGAATGCATTGCGGTAAACAAACAGTGACGTAGTTATAGGTGTTATTTAGTCGTTTAATGAAGATAATGACTGAAGTAAAAATAACACCGCAGTACTGACGCGTGAAGGTATTAATAAGTTTTCTTCACTATAAAACAAACAAACAAGTAATTCTTTGTTTGTTTGAATATTACTACTGTACTCTCTTGTTTATGATGTGTTTTCTCTCTCTCTCTCTCTCTCTCTCTCTCTCTCTCTCTCTCTCTCTCTCCAAAGATAAATCCCTTGAAATTTGTATACAATATGAAACTCATAATATCTATTTAACTTATATGACAAAGAATAAAAATAAATAAATAAATCTGATAAAGAAAATATTCCAATCAAATGTTACAAGACAAAAATAAGAACGGAAAGGGAGGAGGAGGAGGAAGGGAGAGAGAGGCGGAGGAGGAAGAGGCGGAGGGAGGAAGAGGAAGGGAAGGAGAGGGAGGAGAAAAGGGGAGGAGGGAGAAAGGCGATGTACAATATGAATAATATATAACTGTTGGGTCCAAAGGGAATTTTGTACAGGTAAGAGGTTCAACAAATTGAAGTTGTGTGACTCGTATGATGATCTTAAGTCAAGTATTTACCTGAAGAATATGACAGTTGAAATAAGTGTACTGGTGAGCAGACTGTGCGCTGAAAAACTGGTTGTGTAAGGTCATAGCTCTCTCTCTCTCTCTCTCTCTCTCTCTCTCTCTCTCTCTCTCTCTCTCTTCGCTGCCTAGATGTTTCGGGATGTCGTGTTGGCGTTTGTTAAATAATACCCATCTCCCTCTTAGGCCAGTGTGTCCGGGCTGTTTCTGGCAGTGGGATCCTTAAACTCTCGAGGGGCATCACTGTCCACATTTCAATGAGACAAAAAGCTCGTTATGAGGTCGAGGTGTTGCTTGTGGTGTTCTACTCGACCAGCTCAGCATGTAGACTCACTTCCTGTCTCTACTGATGCCTCCAGGTCTCGTGCTGGACTTATGATAATCTTTCCAACTTGTACCTAGAGTGGTGTTATTATCTAATGTGAAGTATGTGTGTGACTCTCCTGGCCCTTGAAGGTAGTTATCATCGTTCTGGAGTGGAGGAGTTTTATCATTTTCAGTAACTCCAGCTCTTTAACTCTTAGCTCACTCCATCCTCTTGAGGTACTGGAGTGGGGCTGGCTTATAGGGCAACGTGGTCAACAAGTCAGATTTTGTTGGGTACACATGTCGGGTGATGACAAGGCGGACCAGTGCTTCCTGTGTAGTTCGTGTACTTCAGCCATTACCGCGTCAGGCTATTGCGTCCTGGGATGCAAAATGTCGGATGTAATGGCCGGCAGTGTTGTTAGGATGCCACTGTTGACCCCAAACAAGCTGTGGCAGATTACAGTATTCTCCCCTGGACGCTTAGTGATGGGAGACAGCCTTAGCGAGACACCACACTGGCTGACCCACGACCGCCTCCTGACCCAGTACGTGAACACCGTCTGGCCCCTTGACTATTAAACACATACTGGTTGAGTGTCCTAGTTTGAGGGAGGTCCTTATCCTTAGTGGGCGGCAATCTCTCCAGGACTCGGGGGTAGGATGATTACTACCGAGTATCCTTAATTCTTGAAGCAGATGATTTATTTCCAGAGGATTGAGTCATTAATTTTATCAAGGAGGCTACCTTCCACCCCTCCCCTCACTCACCCCCCCCCTTCCTCCTGCAGTGTATATGTCAAGTTTTTTTTATAATCGGTTAAGTATACTGTAGTTACTTCTGTATGTATGTATTTTGTCTATAGTTTTATGTTAAATTGTTTTAAAATAGACAAATCTTTTTTTTGTGAATGTGGCGTCATGTGATATAAATATTATGTTGCTAAATATACGGTAGCAAGTACTCAGCATACTTAAGATATGTACTCTACTAGATATGTACTCGCCATTCTTAAAATACGTACTCGGCAAACTTAACATGTACACTACCATACATATGTACTTAGCATGTACTCTACCTTATATATACTCAATTAACTTAACATATTCGCTACCATACATATGTAGTCAACAAGCTTAACATATAACTCTATCATACATGTACTCAATAAACGTTGGGACATGTACTCAACGCCAAGACTAATTAGTACTCTCTCTCTCTCTCACCTCCAGATATGCCCAAGACCTCAACGTTGGAATACAAATCAGGACTCCACTCTCCTAGCCTCCACAGTCCAGTGAAAGGAGAAGCACAGAAAGTAATGGAAGGGTGAGTACCATTACCATGATTTTGTTCCCCTCCTACCATGATTTTTGTTCCCCTCCAACCATGATACTGACACTACCATGATTTTGTTCCCCTCCTACCATGATTTTTGTTCCCTCCAACTATGATACGACTATGAGTGTTGGTTTTGAGAGTCGTGATAATCCAGTGGGTCCCATGATGGTGGGTTTTTCTCTCTCCTACCATGATATTACCATGATTGTTTTTTTCTTCGTGTGATATGATTGACTTGTGTATTGTATTATAATCCTGCCACGAGCACTACTTCTCATCGTTATGTTACCTTGATGCCATGATAAGTATTGACCAATCAGCGCACGACAAACCCGCATGCGAGTGGGTTTTAATTTTTTTTTATTTTTTTTTACTAAATTGCCTTGTACCGGGATTGTGTCGAAATGGGGGCAATGAGCTAATCAGCGCACGACACGCCCGCATGCGAGTGGTTTTTACCAAATTGGCGTTCACAAGGCGTGCGCTGAAATGGGGCATAAAAGTGTTAAGCGTGGGAGTTAAGGGCAGCTTAAAGGGGGCGTGTTTACTAAGCTTTTTGCTGGACGAGATGGTGTGTGAGGGTGTTGGTAATGGTGCGCTGCTACCACACTACCACACCATACTGTCTCTACCACACACCATACTGTCTCTACCACACACCATACTGTCTCTACGACACACCATACTGTCACTACCACACCATACTGTCACTACCACCATACTGTCTACCACACTACCTCACCAAACTGTCTACCACACACACCATACTGTCTCTACCACACCATACTGTCTCTACCACAACATACTGTCTACCACACACACCATACTGTCTACCACACACACCATACTGTCTCTACCACACACCATACTGTCTCTACCACACACCATACTGTCTCTCCACACACACACCATACTGTCTCTACCACACACCATACTGTCTCCCTACCACACCATACTGTCTCTACCACACCATACCGTCACTACCACACCATACTGTCTCTACCACACCACCACACCAAACTGTCTCTACCACACACCATACTGTCTCTACCACACACACCATACTGTCTCTACCACACACATACTGTCTCTACCACACCATACTGTCTCTACACACCATACTGTCTCTACCACACCGTGCTGTCTCTACCACACACACCATACTGTCTCTACCACACACACCATACTGTCATTACCACACCATACTGTCTACCACACTACCACACCATACTGTCTCTACCACACACACCATACCAATATACTACCACACCACACACCATGCTCTACCACACACCATACTGTCTCTACCCACACCATACTGCCTCTACCACACATCCCTGCCTCTACGTGGGTAGGATAGTGTGGTAGGTCTCTTAACACTATGGGTAAGGATAGTGTAGTGGATGTGGTAACACTGGATGAGGAGAAGACAACCAATAGATACACACACACAACACACACACACACACACACACACACACAGGCTACGTCTTTTAAAAATTCATTTCCACTCCTATTACTTTTTTAAATGTCAAATTCAATTCTGGACTCGGCGCCTCCTACCTCTGTGTGTGTGTGTGTGTGTGTGTGTGTGTGTGTGTGTGTGTGTGTGTGTTGTTGTTGTTGTGTGTGTGTGTGTGTGTGTGTGTGTGTGTGTGTGTGTGTGTGTGTGTGTGTGTGTGTGTGTGTGTGTGTGTGTTGTTGTGTGTGTGTGTGTGTGTGTGTGTGTGTGTGTGTGTGTGTGTGTGTGTTACTATTATTATTATCATCATCACTATATATTAAGACTCGTAGAGCTTCACCAAAACAAATATACATAACAGTATCGTCTAAGCCTTTGAGAATACGACTTTTAACTCACACTAACTCGTTCACTCTTAACTCGCAACATGAGAATAAATCGTAAGGTTCTCACTCGTTGTTATCTTATTTTACGAGAGTTTTAAGATTTGGTGGTGAGGCTGTAGGAACGAGAGAATTTTAAGGGGGGCTCTCTCTCTCTCTCTCTCTCTCGGGTAGAAATTGAAAGAAGGAGGCGGAAAATTGCTGTGAGGGAGAGTGATACGCCCATCATAATATGCTGATTGAACCCACCTCGCTTCCTCCTTGCTTTTCTTATCAGTTTTTTTTTTGCAACCGATCTACCTACCGACCGATTAATCTACCGACCGTTTAATCTACATACCGACCGATTAATATACCTGCTAACTAATTAATCTACCTACCGACCGATTAATATACCTGCTAACTGATTAATCTACCTACCGACCGATTAATCTACCTGGTAACTGATCAATCTATCTATGGGCCAATCAATCAACCTACCGACCGATCAATCTACCTACCGACCGATCAACGAACAATAATAACAATGAAACCCAAAGTAGCTGACTCACGTAAACACGACGCATCTGCTCAATACTTAACACGTTCCTAATGTTTATAACAAGACCTATATTGCATGACGAAAGGTTATAACAAAAATTGACCATTATTTGTTGTAAACGTCTGGGTTGAAATTTATTGAACGAAATGTATTGTGTCTGGAGTGTATAAGAGATGAGAAATGACTGGAAAAACTTAGAGAAATACGAAATATAAGAGTGGGAGGAGAGTTATGACGTAGGGTATGACGTCACTGTTGATGGGAGCATTTGGTAAATATTATTGGTTATCTTGGGAAGTATTTTGTAAAGGCTATGTATATCAGAATATTAATTAGGACACTTTATGTATATTTTGCCAGTAAGGAGAAGGTAAGGTTGGTTTGTGAATGATGTTTGATAAAAGTGAAGGAGTTTGGTGAATGTTTGACAATGTTGAAGAGAGAAAGAGAGAGAGAGAAAGAGAAACAGGGTGTAGTATGATAGTATGTCGAGAATATGATAGAATGTACCCAATCACACTACTAGAGGCCCGGGGAGGGAAGATTTGAAGAGTAGGGACAGGCAGGGTGAAGGAGAAGACTCAGGGTGTAGTTGAGACTCTTGAAAGGGAGGAGGAAGGAGGAGAGGGGGGAGGAGGGAGATGAGGGAGAGGGAAGGAGAGAGGCAGGGAAGGAGAGGGAGATGAGGAGAGAAAAATAGAGGGAAGGAGGAATCTTCCCACGCCCCCTCCTTCCCTCACCTTCATCCCTTGCTCCTTCCTCTCCATCCTTCCTCCTCTTCCTCTCTCTCTCTTCCTCTCTCTCTCTCTCTTAATATCCTCTCTTTCCCTCCCCTCCTTCCCTCCCTTCCCTCCTCCCTCTCCCTTCCCCTCCTTCCTCTCCCCCCTCCTTCCCTCTCCTTCCTCTCTTGCTCGGGAAACTCTTCAACATTTTTCCCTTGAGAGTGACGAAAGAGGAATTAGTGGGTTTGTATGGAGCTGTAGGCGGCCACGGCTGGTCTAGACGGCTTGACACCCCGCCTGTCACCCAGCACTCAAAGGACGGATATCTCCGCGCCCACGTCCTCCCTCTCCTGCCGCCCACCCCATCCCATCACACCCATCCACCCACTGTCCTCCTGCCCTCCCTCTAACCTTCAATATCTTCCGTTCCAACCATCCTACCATCCTCCCCACCTCCCGACCTCCCTCCCGACCTCCCTCACCTCTCACCCCTCACCTCTCATCCCCCACCCACTAGCGCGTCCTTCTGCGGAAATTACTTGGTAAAAATAATCACAGAGAAAAGTAGTTTTTGTTTTGCTTTTTGATGTAATTTTTCTTTACAGTTGTGTAACGTTGGTTGTGGCAGGACGTTGTTGTTGGTTGATGTTATTATTTTCGTTATTGTTGTTATTATTATTTTTATTGTTATTATTATTATTATTATTATAATTATTATTTTATTATTATTATTAAAAGTATTTGTATTTCATATCAGTACATATCGTCATCATCATCACCACCATCATCATCACCACCATCATCATCACCACCATCATCACCATCTCCCAAAAATCATGTAATTTCCAATAACATCAGTAAACTCACACCTGCCTCTTATTTCTTATAGCTCTACACCCTCTACCTACCCAGATACCACCCCTTTTCCCTCTCTCTACCCCCTCCCAGAACTATAACACCACGCCCCTCCTATCCCCTTCCCCTCTTTACCCTCCTCCCCTCCCCCAGAACTATAACACCACGCCCTTCCTCCCTTCCCCTCTCTACCCCCCCTCTCTACTCTCCCTCCCCTCTCTACCCTCCTCCCCCTCCCAGAACTATAACACCACGCCCCTCCTATCCTCCCCCCCTCTTACCCTCCTCCCCCTCTCTACCCTCCTCCCCCCCCCCAGAACTATAACACCACGCCCTCCCTATCCCTTCCCCCTCTCCTACCCTCCTCCCCTCCCCCAAAATATAACACCAGCTCCTCCTCCCCGGACTATGACGCCATTTTCCGGAGGTATAGCCACGCCCTACACGCCTGGTAGCCTTATAATCTCCCGTCAAGGAATCGGACGTTGCAATTTAGAATCTGGGCAGCGTAATCCCAGGAGGACGGGCGCTACAAGATGAGTCCGTATCTCTTGCGGTTTAAGTACGTGGTTGGTGATGGATGAGGGGTGGGGTGTGGATGAGGGGTGGGGTGTGGATGAGGGGTGGGTGTGATGGATGAGGGTGGTGTGATGGTGGTGGGGTTCAAGTGGTGGGTATTTGTGTTGGATGAGAGAGGGAGGGAGAAATAGTGATTAAAGAGAGGTGTAGGGAGATTTTTAGGGAAGAGAGGAGGAGAAATGAAGAAGAAACAGGAGGCTGAAACGTAGAGAGAGAGAGAGACCGATTAAGTAACTTGCAGACCATGATGAATTATGCGAAGCCAAAGTTGAAGATAGTTGTGTTTAGAGAGAGAGAGAGAGAGAGAGAGAGAGAGAGAGAGAGAGAGTTTTGACTTTCAACATTTTCAAAAGATTATGTAAACACAATTATTAAGATACTTTGCAAACACAAACATCAAGGGACTCTATAAACACAAACATCAAGGGACTCTGTAAACACAAACA